TTATTGTCCGGCTGATCGCCTCTCCTTTAAACCATCCCTAAGCACCTGCAGTAGAAAATCCCAGCACAGAAAGATAAGCCTTCACTTTTGGCAATAAAGAGTGAAATTCCTCCTTCCGCTCGGTGTAGCAATTTTGCACCAGCGCCTCGTTCAGCGTGAGAGCACATCAAACTCACTGCACTCGTTCCATGCCCTTCGACTCCCTTCTGCCAACTCTGATTCCTGGTTGAAAATGGCGGGCGAGTGCGGAATATTGCTTGGCATGTTACAAAGTGGAAATATAATTCTTGGATTTTGTTTCAAGGAATAAATACAAGAATAACCCTTGCATTTGGCATGGCGCCTTTCAGATCGGGAAGACCTCCCAAAACACTTCACAGGATATCCCGTAAAGTGTAGCGACTGTGTGTTTTGTAAGCAAATGCAGCAGCTAACTTCTGCACAGCAGTGTCCTGCAAACAGCCATGAAGTGAATGACCGATTTTATCTGGGACATTGTTGGCCATGGGATCCTTAACGTCCACCTGAACAATACAGCACACCCCCAGCAACGTATGGGAGTGTCAGCCTGGACTTGAGGTGAGTTCAAAGTCCCCGATTTGAGGCTTGAACCAACGTCCTCCCGACACAAAAGCAAGAGTCTTACCAATTGAGCCGGACTGACACCTACGGGGGAGGAAGGGAATATTGGTATTGCAATCAAACCTGGGGAATGGGCCAGTTTCCCATGCCAGGCATCCAAATCAGCATCAATCACTCCCTGAAAATAATAATCCTTCTATTTGATATCACGCCTATAATCTCGAAACATCTCAAAGCACTTCACAGTAATTACAGCTGAATGCAGCAACTCTTTTGTAGGCAACGCTCACAAAGGGGCCCGGAGATGAAAGACCAATTTATCTGGAGGATTGTTGGCCAGGGCACCAGCAAGACAATCTCCTTCCTTATTTCTATTGTACTCTAGGTTCTTTAACGTCTACCTAAGCAGACATTTAGTCTTAATTAAGGGATTCATATTTCATATCTCTCTTGAAGGTCTGCACCTCAGACAGCACCCCCAACCCTACACTGCAGTGTCAGTCTAGAATGTAAGATCAAAGTCCTCAAAATGGATTTGATACCCACAACCTTCTGACCGAGAAGCAAGAAAGCTACCAACTGAGCCAAGTTGGTTCTCACTGGCTAGGCATAGCATAGACCATGTAGAATAATGCACTATGCTCCAACAATACGCTTAGCCCCAATTTCAGAAGAACATACGTCACCCAGTGCAATATGCCTATTTCCCAGGATCCCTGATTAGTGGAACGGATGCTTAATCTGCTTGCTGCTTAATTGAGCCGCAAAAAATTTTAAGTGTGAGGAAATTTAACAACACAAAAGACAGGAGCTACACCCGAACCTATGATGACTCAGTGGATAATGCTTTGCGTGGTGCATTACCAGATATATGTCCCAAGGTCAATCCTTGGTTATGTTATTTCAGTCAGAGCATTAGTGCAAATGTTTGCACCCAGGTTCCCGGTTCCAAATACCAGGAGGAGCAGCTGTGTAGACGTGAGGTGAAGACAGGTACAGACTCAACTGTAATTACTACACGGTTGAGCAGCCTGTCTAGACACACTGTGTGGGCTCATACATAAATAATGGGCACTTGAGCCAGACAGCAGAGGGCTGTCGACACCCCTGGAACTGTACATCAAAGGAAACAACCATCTTCAGCACACAAGAGGAAAAAAATATTTCAGGAAGAAAGAAGTACACACTGACTCCACTTCACATAAATCCTATGAAGCGCTTTGGGCTGTCCTCCCGACTTCAAAGATGGAAGCATTATTATTTATTATAAGAGTGTTGGTTTCATGTTAAACTAAAGCGATGACTTGTGCAGTCATCTGCAACTCAATACACGAATGAACACTCATCAGTGGATTGCTCGAGGGGTTCTTCTTTCTGGATTAGTGTGCAATCTGTTGATAATTGTTTAATTGTTGACCACTTTAGTCTCTTCCTTGTTCCTCCAAAACTGCTGTGATGTACAACACTGCTTCTACAGTGGAAGTTGAAGGCACTTTTTCTACCCCTGCTGTTCCCCTGGCTCTGTTGAAGGCTACCTGCCAATGCTGGCTTCTATAAACTGAGGTATTTGTTCCAATAGGCGATGACTTTGGTGGATCACAGGGGAAGGAAGCTATTCCATTGATGACGACAACAACAACAACAACAATCTATATTAGGACACTGTTGTGCGCCATTGGCTGCTGCGTTTCGCCCACAAATGATATAGTCAATCGACTTTACAGTATATTCCGTGAAGCACTTTTACACGTGCTTTGAACTAGGAAAGGAAGAGGCTAAGGGACTGTGGGATGGAGTTGGATGGAAGGGTGGGGGCACATCTCCATCATGAAGGTGATGGTGATGCAGGGTCTGTTAAACGGGTGGATGTTAAAGATCCACTACTCGAAAAGAGTAGAATGTTTCTCCCAGTGACCTGGACAACAATCTTCCAGATAAAGTTGGTCATTCATTTTGTGGCTGTTTGTGGGACATTACCTTACCACAACTCCCTGCTGCATTTGCCTAGGAAATACAGTCATCACACTCGAGTGTAAATCCTGTGAAGCATTTTGATGTGATAAAGCGCTATATCAATGATCATATTTGTTGGAAGAAAAGCCTGAAATCTCTCGGCACATCCTTAGACCGTCTGTAACACATCCAGCAGTACAGGCAGAATATCTACAAGCACGAGATGAGGTTGAGTTTCTTCACGTCTGGAGAGGATGTTCAGAGTTAATTTCTGTGCAAAATAGAATTTTGCCAGAATAATTCTGCCAGCTTCCATTTCAGGCATCCTCCCCTTTATTGTCAAGTTATCCAGAACCTGACTGCGACTAATAATATTCCTTGCACTTGATATATCACGTTATCAAGTCTTCGAGATGTCTCAAAGCACAGGATATACTGCAAAGTGAACTGACTGTGTATTTTGTGGGCGAAATGAGGTGTATTTTAAAGTGTACGAGTCGCTGTTTTTAGAGAATATAAAAAGAAGATGTTGTGGGTGAAACGCGGCAGCCAATTTCGCACAGCAATGTCCCACAAACAGTCGTGGATTGAGCCTATTGCTCTGCTATCGATATTCACTGCTGTGTATGAGAATCTCCTTCAGGCTCGCGATATATCACAGCTTGAATGCTTAAATAGAATGGCAGTCTCTTCCCCAAAGACTAACCACAGGAACAGATCAGAAGGTACAATTGAGTCAGCACCTGCCTATCTTCAGCTCTTGCAGACAGGCAAGTTTATGAGTATGAGGTACAGCTGAGCAATCGAGGTAGAAGAAGCTGTTCGCAATTATAACTTCTTTCCAAGTCGACACCTCTGTCTCTTGTCTACAAACTTGTATCCACGCAGCTATATTACGGCTAAACTACAAGCCCTAAGGCGTTAAAGGTAAAATAGCGGCCACTTGTTCTCCAACAATTAATAAAGTTTAATTATCAGTTTTACGGGCTTACCGGTTTTTTTTCTCTCAAAAAAAAGCTTTGGAACTGTGCACGTGCATTAACACACAATGATGTATTTTATTCCCAAAATATGCCACGCACCTGTATTTAACATTAGCAGTGTATCGAACAGGAATTTGATCCTGCAGTCTACAAACACTCCCGCACTTCTGCAAATACCCTCCCACTCAGGGGTCAGTCTCAAAAGTGTTCACCTTCCATGTTTGCTCTTGTAGTAGCAGTAACAGCAAACAGGATCTTCAAATAGGTGGGGAAAAACTTTTAGGACTATTTAGTGTAACTCTGTAAAACATAAAGGGGACCCCCAATGCACAATAACCATGGCCACCGTTTGACATGCACTGATCATACTCAACTAAGAGACCACTGACATACTGAGCCAGAAAATGAAATGCTCTCAGCTATTAAGCAGAAAGTCCTTTAACCCTGCACGTCACAAATAAAGGAGTCTTACTCCCAGGAAAGGTTTCCAATGCTGTAACCTCTCCTAAGTACTTCCCAGCAGCAATTAAAGAAGACATGTAACATCCCTGGTAAATTTGAGGCCTGGGTCAAGTGTAAATTATTACCAAGGGCAAGGATTATTATTATTATAAACAATGCAACTGTTCAATGCTTTTATTAACGGTGTCCTCTTTTTAACCACAGGGTTAACTCCAGCCGCTTTTACATTGCGGATGAAGGGAGTAAACGACAAAACAGGCACATAACTGTCTCCTGGCTCCGAGACGCCATCCCTAACGTGAAGAATACCCTATAATAATAATAATAATAATAATATGCACGTTGTTGTTTTCCCGGGAAAGGAAATCTCTACATGTGTTTGTGTGTATGCTGCTATCCCTATCATTTTCAAAATAGCAGGCAGATTGCTCATTTCCTATCACGCTGATTCTCACTGACACAATTGCCCCTCCCAAAAAATAACATGTGGGAGTGTTGCAGTTAACTGTAAACCTCCACGACCCTAATAAGCACAAAATGATAAAGCTCCGCTTCCATTGGGAGGCCCCAATGAAAGAAAGTAATGCTGTTATTCCTCAAAGCTACATATTTCTGTGTGGATACAAATATTACTGAGATACTTTCGGAATGGACTGTACTGCCACAACAAAAATATTTACACTTTCTTTTGACCCAGCACCCAAAGGTCTGTCTAAGACCTGAAGCAGAAACACCCAGGACATTAGTCATTATTTTCGTTAGACCTCCTTCACAATACTTAATCGCCCACAAGATATGCAGTCAATTCGCTTGACAGTATGTCCTGTCCTGTGAAGCGCACTGAGAGTCTCGAAGATGTGATTAAGGCGCTGTGCCAAATCCAAGGATTATTATACAATAATAATAATTATTAAACAATAATAATAATAATCAACATCTTCGAACAACCCCCCCCCCCATCTCACCGTAGTGTGTAAATCATAAGGGGGGAGGGGGGGCGGGGGGCGGTGATAAACTTACTTTTTAGTGCCTGAATCAATGCCTTTCCGTCTTTAATCAGATCCTTGATGAATTTGTTCGTTTTCTCGAGCTCCACCTCGTGAGATTTTAGTCTGTCGCGGAACTGGGGGCTGTCCAGGTAACATTCGCTGAACTCCAGCGGCCTCAGCCCCATCTTATCGGGCAGAGCGAGACAGCCGGGAGGGGAGGCGCGAAGGGCTCAAAGGGACCGGGACACTGAGATCCAAAGTCACGGCGGCTCAGTTCTTCGGATGGATCCGGTGACCGACCGATCGATCGCGAGTGTGTCCTGAGAACTGGTCTGTCTGAACCGCTGACTGGGAGCTGCGCCCACTCTTCTCCTTCCCGCGGTCTCTCCGCTTCCTGGCGGTGTCCTCCTCAGCCTCAGGATCTCCTCCTCACCTTCGGGATCTCACTCACACTCGGGATCTCACTCACACTCGGGATCTCACTCACACTCGGGATCTCACTCACACTCGGGATCTCACTCACACTCGGGATCTCACTCACACTCCGGATCTCACTCACACTCCGGATCTCACTCACACTCCGGATCTCACTCACACTCCGGATCTCACTCACACTCGGGATCTCACTCACACTCGGGATCTCACTCACACTCCGGATCTCACTCACACTCGGGATCTCACTCACACTCGGGATCCCACTCACACTCCGGATCCCACTCACACTCCGGATCCCACTCACACTCCGGATCTCACTCACACTCCGGATCTCACTCACACTCGGGATCTCACTCACACTCGGGATCTCACTCACACTCCGGATCTCACTCACACTCCGGATCTCACTCACACTCCGGATCTCACTCACACTCCGGATCTCACTCACACTCGGGATCTCACTCACACTCAGGTCACTCACACTCGGGATCTCACTCACACTCAGGTCACTCACACTCGGGATCTCACTCACACTCAGGAACTCACTCACACTCAGGTCACTCACACTCAGGTCACTCACACTCCGGATCTCACTCACACTCGGGATCTCACTCACACTCGGGATCTCACTCACACTCGGGAACTCACTCACACTCAGGTCACTCACACTCAGGAACTCACTCACACTCAGGTCACTCACACTCAGGTCACTCACACTCAGGTCACTCACACTCAGGTCACTCACACTCAGGTCACTCACACTCATCGGCTGTTCACACTCGAGATGTTCACACTCGAGATGTTCACACTCGAGATGTTCACACTCGCTCCCCCTCACTCCGCCCCCACAGTCTGAGCCCCGGGAGGGAGGGGGTGGGGGGTGGGGGGGGGTTTCCTTCCCTCGGGTTGCGGGGCTGTGGGCAGCCGCACGCGCGGTGCCGGTGGTGCCGGTGGTGGGGCTGTCCCGGGGGGGAGAGGCGGGGGGGGGGGTGTGTGGGGGGTGTCTGGGGTCGGCCGCGGTGGTGGCGGCGGCGCCTGGTCACAGCCCCGGGGTCCCGACGGGGCGGACACTGAGGAGAAACTTCATGAAGGTCCCTCCCGCTGCTCGCGGCGTTTCCGTCAGCGGCGACGCTGCTGCGCAACCTAACCTGCTGTCCGTGTGTGGGTGGGGGTGGGGGGGTGGGCTTGACTGACCGGCGGGCCGAACCAATCACAGCCCGGGAGCGGGTGACTCCGACCAATCAGCGCTGAGCCAGCGCCCGGCCAGGTCCCGCCCCCGCGCCGCCAACACGTTCGGTTGAGCGGTGGCGCCGCCCTGTCAATCACAGCCGTTGCTAGAGTGGGCGTGGCTTGCGTCAGTTTAAAGGCGAGGGTGCCTTTTTGGCGCGTCTGCTGCTCTTAAAGGGACCGTGTGCCCGAATTAAAGGGACCGTGTGCCCGAATTAAAGGGACCGTGTGTCCGAATTAAAGGGACGGTGTGCCCTGCACACACACCACACACACACACACACACACACACAACACTGTGGACACAATCTCCAGCGCCTGCAGGGCATGAATCAGGGCTCCCGGAAGTTTGCGTCTTCGGGGAAAAACTTTTTTTTTGGCTCCGCTCTGGATATCCAAATGGGTATCTTGCCGCCCACCCCCCCCACACACACACACACGCCTCTGTTTGCCGAGCGGGAAATAGAAACCCGGTTGTGAGTCGATCGGCGGATCGCTTTTCCGGGGTGGTGGGGGCTCGGGTAATAATACCTTTTTTTAAAAAAAATGATAATTTGGTCGCTCAAACCACGACTGTTTGTGGGGAGGAGGGGCGGGGGGACACTTCTGTGCGCCATTGGCTGTCGCGTTTCATCCGCAAAGTACAATTCACTGGACAGTATGTCCTGTGAAGCGCTTTAAGAAGTCTCGAAGATGTGATAAGGCGCTGTATCAGCGACAACAACGTGCATTTATATAACGCCCTCCATGCTGGGTAGGGTCCCGGAGCGCTTAAATATCTTTTTTTATTAATTTAATAAATCCCATGAAATTGTAGGCACCTGAGAAGACACAAGACTCTGAGATGTCGTTCAGTGTTGGTCAATTCTCTTCCGCGTTTCACATATTTACATAGCGCCCTCATGTAAGACAACACCTTGAAGTGTTTTACAAGGACAGGGTTGGACGTGGAGCAAGGAAGAAGAGGGCGTTGGCTATAATGATATTAATCTTTACATTTAATATGGCACCTTTCATGTCAGATGTCGCCCAGTGTGCTCCACGGGATACACTGCAAAGTGGAGTGACAGGGTGTTTCGTTTCGTACACGTAGTACAGGTGGAGGTGGATAAGATGCAAGTTTTTCAGATGGTTTTAAAGACAGATAGAGGGGGAGACGGAGAGGCACAGGGAGGGAGTTCTAGTAGTTAGGACAGGAGGGAGTGAAGGCATAATCACAGCTGGTGATGCAGAGAACTGGGTGATATATCTGGTGTGAACTCCATTAACGATGATTAAAAAAAACAATTCAGAAACCAACATGTAGCACCACAGAGAGATGTGGTCTTCATAGTCAGGAAATTCTCATGATTCCTATCTGCGTGTTCCTCAGGGTGATAGCCATCCCTTCCAGTTTGTGCTGTGATCGCTCTAGTTTTGTCTCACCATAATCTTGCACCCAGAATTGGACAATATATTCTAAATGGTGCTAACCGTTAAAATCACAGTAAAATCCTGTGAAATGTTTTGAGACGTCTTGATGACGTGATCAAATGCTATATCATACAGTTCTTATTGTTACATTAGCACTGAATGATACAGGGTTAAAATAAACTATTTTGACTAACATTTACAGTAAATATCCTCAGATGTATCCAGTTCTTGGATACCCTGATTAATATCAGCCTCAAAATAACTGCTCATTTTGAGTGACTACTTTAAGTTTATAAACACAAATTAAATATTTACCATCCGTGACAAATGGAATCTATTCCTTGTGTATACATTTTTGCTTTTATTGCACCGAAGTAAATTAGGTTTCCTTCTATTTATCCACATTAAATGTTACTTTCCATGTCTTAAGCAGCCACCTGCATGTGTCCCACTTCCATTGAATTATACTACTCGTTGCAGCTGTGAAGCACAGTGTTATCAAGAAACAAATACTTGAAAGCAGTATTCTCTGCACTGTTCAGAAAGAGCATAAACAGAATAGACCTCCACAAGTCTCTGCCTACACCCCCGTCCCCCCACACCCACACAAACTCAGAACCTTCCATGTTTTATCCACATTGTTTTGCCGGCAAAATACACAGTCACTACATTTTACAGTGAATCATGTGAAACACTTTGAGACACCCCCGGATGTGAATGGTGCCGTGTATTATTATTTTTATTATTGTCATTATTATTATCATCATCTACTGCTTTTCTACTTCCAAATCAATTAGCAAATCTACCTTCTGAGTTCTAATACTTGACTAGAACCATAGGGTTTACTTTCGGGATGTGCTCCCACACTGCTGTGCCAGTAGTCACTATATGAAGTGCCAGTAAATGAAGTCCCTCCAGGAACTTACAGATCCTTTAAACTGATACCAGAGTAACCGAGGAGGAAAGTGAGGCTAAAAACAGAAGGTATGTACCATGCAAAGAAATCAATATTTTTATCCAACAATGAACGTGTTCTGCTTGTATCATCTCCAAACAGATGCGAGAGTAATTTGAATGGAAAATACTTTGTGTTCTCTCTCTCCCCCACCCCCCAAAAAAAACTTTCCCTTTCCTTATAATAGTAATAATCATAATTCTTGTGTTTGAGATCGTGCCTTATCGGGTCTTCGAGACGTCTCAAAGCGCTTCACGGGATACACTGCAAAGTGAATCGACTGTATACTTTGTGGGCGATGGGATGTTGTAGGTAAAGCAGGAGGTGCCCCTCCGGGGAGAGAGTGCGCATTCCATTCCAACAATCTCTCTCAGGAATTTCCAACAACAACTTGTGTTTGCATAGCACCCCTCCTGTGGGGGTAGCATCCCGGAGCGCTTCAATTTCCACGTGTGGGCGGGACGCATGGAATTCTCAGCTCGGTTTGGATACTCTTGAGCGCGGTGATGGGTGACAGACAGACGGACGGACGCCCAGTTGACCTTCCCCCCCCCCCCCCAATACTCACCCACTAAAAAAAAATGATGGAAGAAAGTGAAAATGAAAGTTTGTGTTTGGCAAATCAAACCTCTTGAGTGGGTGCTGTCCTCCTGTGGCAATAATCTGCATTGCTGCTGATACACAAACTAATATAGTCATTTCTCCCCCCCACCCCAAGGTCAGGAAATCACACCTGCCTTAAACTAAAGAATTAAAAGCCTTCATCAGCCCGACTCTGATGTCCTGTGAATTGCGGTCATGTTGAAATCCGGGAAAGCATAAATGTGTAGCGCGACGCATCTGAAATACAGCAGAAACACTTTAGAATCTGAAGGATCGGAGGCGATGAGGGGGATAAATAAATAGCCTGATAGTGATTGCAAGCTGACAGGTTGTTTGGGTGTGGGGGGTGGTGGGGGGTAAAGCTTTGTCGAAACGGAAAAGTAGCCCCATCCCAGTTGGTGGAGTGGAATTTTTTTTAAAAGCCGGGGGACAATCGAGAAGCATTTTGAGAATAAATTTGAATGTGAATCCATATCTGCTCCGCTAGAATGTTAGTTTATTGAAAGCCTTCATTCAAGCTCAGCCACAGGAGACATCGTCAGGACTGCGGCATTTCCATCAATTATGCAGTCGGCCTCGCACCAGGATCCTGACGTGAATATCATCAAGTAGTTGCGGTCTTGAGGCCCTATTGTAACTGGACGCGTAATACTTAATCATCCAATATGGTACGGCTCCATCAGAGCAAATAACACGCAACGTAGAAAGGCTCCATTGTACATGTTCGACTGGAGTTAAGGGAGGCACTGTGCGCGCGGGTTTCCTTTTGTCGCTTTCTAACGTAATAAGTGATGAGTTTTGTCAGTGATAACAAAACAAAGTTCGCAAAGACCTACC